TTAACACTCAGGTGTTAAAACAATAGAAATATTTCAAAGATAAAATGTAAAAATGACTTTCTCGAAACGATGGCAATGTTTGACACATGAACATCTCAGTTACACTTGGACACATAGAAAAACTAATTCTGAACTTCAGAGTTTGTTCTCAAACTATCAGGAACGGAACCAAGAAGGGAACCCAGAAGGTCTATAACTTTGCAGGCCCCTGGGATGTGTCATTACTGGCCCCCAACATTCAAAGTTTAAGTAGAATCGGCTTCTCTTCTGAGGTCTAGAGCGAGGGAGAAAAGGAAATTAACTTCAACATTCCCTCTTTCTAGAACAGGGGTCTTCAAACTTGGCCGTACATTAGAATCAACTGGGGAGCTTTGAAGGAGCTCAGGGCTCAGGCCACACCCTGATCAATTAAATCAGACTTTGTGGGGGTAGGTCACAGGCATTGGTACTTTATAAAGTACCAGTGTTCTAGGGAATTCCATCGTGCAGCCGAGGTTGAGATCCACAACTCTGGCAAAACACAAATAATTATTTTAAGATCAAATTTATACCAGGCTCTAACTTTGTTTCAGAATATTTTAAATTCAGCCCAAATGTCACTGTCTGCATGTATCACCACAATTCGGATCATTTACGGATGACCATCTATATCTCCTTTTATTAGGACGAGTTAGAAAAACTAAGAGGAGGCCAAATGCAATTGAATCCTGGAACAGAAAAAGACATTCATGGAAAAACTGGTGAAATCTGAATGAAGTCTGTAGTTTAGTTAATAATACAGTACCAATGTTAATTTCTTAGTTTTGATAACTGGGACGTGGTTTGTAAGATGGTGACATTTGTTGAAGCCAGGTGGAAGGCATACAGGAATTCTCTATTATTTTTGCAATTCTTCTACAAGTCTAATTGTTTCAAACTAAAAAGTTAAATTAAAAAAGAGAAGGTGGATACCACCCAGTTCTACTCAGCCATAAAAAACAACAGTGATCTAGCACCTCTTGTATCATCCTGGATAGAGCTGGAGCCCATTCTACTAAGTATCACAAGCATGGAAAAACAAGCACCACATGTACTCACCATCAAATTGGTATTAAGTGATCAACACTTAAGTGCACATACAGTAATAACATTCATTGGGTGTCGGACAGGTGGGAGGGGGAGGAGGGGATGCGTATATTCACACCTAATGGGTGCGGTGAGCACCATCTGGGGGATGGACACGCTTGAAGCTCTGACTCAGGTGGGGCAAAGGCAATATATGTAACCTAAACATTTGTACCCCCGTAATATGCTGAACTAAAAAAAAACTAAAAAAAAAAAAAAGAAGGTAGAGCTAGTATCAATGCTGCAACATTGTTGATTACTAACAATATTTAACATTTGTGGGCATAAAGTCTTACACTGTGGACTCAGACACTTTATTAATGAATGCAACTTGTCAGGCGAGAGAAGCTTAGAGAAATCACCAATTTCCTGTCTACATCCAGCTTTATGTATTTTTTATCCAGTTTCATCTAGATCCCACACAATGCCGGCAGCAGTTAATTCTGAAGGAGTCACTGACAATATACGATCCAGGAGTAACCTACTGTTGGAAATTCTACCACTAGGAAGGCTAATGCTGCTGGTAATGATATCTTGCCCTTGTACAGGATTTTACAGTTTATTAGCACTTCTCAAGTGTTAATCCTGTTTGGTTTGCATCAGGAAATAGGCAAATGCGTGTGGTATACCATAGGCTGTCATAAAGAATGAAACTTCTGTTACATTTGATTATAAAACACACAGTGCAGCACCTATATACATCACACACACTCTCACAGCACATGTGCACAATTTGAAAACATGGTTATTAAAAAGATCTTGCATCAGTGGTACGCACAGGGTGGGCTCAGGGACACGCTGTAAGGCCAGTGCTTACTGACACACAATTCACTGACCCCAAGCAGGTGACACCCACTCATACTATTTTATAGGGGCAGATTTCATTCTTTCCTTTGCTCCCAGGAAAAGGGGACAAGTTGAGATTAGCAAAGTGGCACCAGCAATGTCTGTTGCCCGGGATTGTGTGGTCAGGACCGACTGCACCGGGTCACAGCCATCCCCTGCCACCCTGTGTGTCTGTCTCCACGGAGATGCTGGCTCTTCATCTCCTTTGGGCCTGACACTTGCCCTTTCCCCTGGTGCACCAGGCGCACCTGCCATTTGTTTTCTGGAAAATGTGTGCCAGCTCCAGCCGTTTTCCCGACTTCATACTGGCTGCCCACCCACTCCTACCATGGCTGGACAAACCCTCCCACCAGACTCCGGGGCAGGTGATGGAGGCGGCTGCACTTTCTCTGGACTGTGCCAGAAGGATGGCTCACATCCTATTCATCATCGTCCCCCAGACAGCTCCATGATGGCTCACGTCCTCTTCATCGCCATCTCCGCAGAGCCTCCCCGCTGCCACCTCCACTACTAGAGAGGGTGAGATGCTCTTCTCAAGCTTCCACATGCACACACACACATGCATACACATGCACACACACGCATACACATGCACACATACATGCACACACATGCACACGCATGCACACATGTACTCTTTCTTGACCTGGCCTCCACATGTACATGCACACACACATGCACATACATGCACACACACACTCTTTCCTGGCCTGGCCTCTACATGCACACACACATGCACACACACGCACACACACACTCTTTCCTGGCCTGGCCTCTACATG